AATTTAGTAATCTGCCATAAGTTATCTTCTTCCAGTTGATACTCTTTAGAAATTCTAAATATTTATGGACTTAAATGTTTAAGATGTCTTCAGTACCCTGTCTTCTGTGAGGAGACAGTCAAGATCAAATAAGCATGTGCAGCATACGTCTATGAATATTTCATAAGTGGAATAATGACTTAGTGGTCTTATCTAGAATACACTTGAACGTCCATCAGATTTTTAGTCTTATGACCTATTGGGTAAGATGTGAAAGTTCCTTAGTGGTCACTTTTTTGTGTTCTTATTTTTTAAAATTTATTCTGTTTAAAAAAACTAGCAGCTGCTGTAGGGGTAAGAAAACGAAAGTTATTAAATAAATATTTATTTTTAAAAAAAGGCATTCAGAAGGCAAAAGGCATGTTTTCTCATTTATCAAGTAAAAGGTTTATGCTTTTTTCTTTTAAATAATTTCTAAGTTTTTTAAAAAACCGATATATTTTACTTCAAATTGTAACAGCCTTTTTTGTCAAGAAAGGAAAACAAATTCGTTTCCTTAAAAAAAATGCATGATATCGATGTATTGATAAATATTTAGTAGATTGCTGCAGTTGTTAAGCCTTTACATAGAAATTTGCATCTTTTGCTTTCCCTGTATTATGACTGATAATCCCATTTTTCAAATGAGAAAATTCTGAAACTAAGATACTAGTCTGTGAGGTAGTCACACACTATGCCAAGTGGATTGATTTTAATTAACAGAAAAGAAAACTTCGTATTTTTAACATTTTTATGTTAGTCTTTATTATAAGAACGTTGCTGAGTGTCACTGAGTGTCACTGGTCACTGTTACTTTAATTTGCTACTTTTTTTGTTACCTAGAAAGATGTTATATGAATTTCTAAATTAATTCAAATTAGAGCATTAGAATATTCTCTGTTTTCTCAGTATTTTGTTCTTGGGAGATGTTTTTTAATGGTTTGTGTCAAAGTCTGTTTGAGAGAAGCAACTGACCTTCCAAATGCATGACATATAATTATTAATTTTTAGTCATTCTACCTTAGAATTAACGAAAAAACCCTAAACCCCAAGTTGTGCATATAAAAACTTATTTACTAGATGAAGATAGTGTAGTGAGGGAACAGAACTACATCTTTCTAGTTACCATTTCATCCCGAAGTTTATAGAACTTTAGAACTGGTCTTCTAGTATTGTTTTTCATCTGTTGTGAGAGAAGAAAAGTACAGACCTCTCAGCCACTCTTAGAAGAAAAGTTTGTAAATTCTGCCATTTGTCTGCTTCGTGCTGCTCTGTGTTAAGAATGATTACACTGATCCATACCCAAGTCCATCCAGCCCCATTATTCTGCTTGAAACAGTGGCCATAGCAGACTCCAAGGAAAAGTTCAGCAGAGCAAATGTATTGGATACTTTGCCGTTAACACTCAGTCAGTCTTTGACTCTTTGCAATCCAAGGATTTTTCTGAACCTGTTTGGGTTTGTCTACTTAGTGTAACCCTCAGTAGATCTTTCTTCCAAGTATTTTCCTATCCTTGAACATAACTAAGCTTTATGGGTTCAAGTGTCTTTTGTCAAGGAGTCTGTTGGGTAGAGAACCACTTTCTTTTGTTTACTGTTGAATCTGACTTCTACAGGCTTTGTCTGATGGCCCATAGCTCTGTTTTTGGAAAAGAGCATGGACAATTGGTTCACTGTCTCCATGCTGCTTGAGGTTTTTCTAAATAATTTCTGTACCCTCTAGAGGTTAATATATATTGGGGTTTGGGTTTTTTTAAGGCTAATGCCTATCCTTTCTTCTTTCCAAATAAGTCCTTATGAGATCAAAATTTGAAGCAGAAAAAGAGGTATCTCAGTCCTTAGTGATTTTTTGATGAAAATAAGTTGGAGTGATGGATGTTTTCATTTGAATACACAGACATCAGTCCTTCAAAGCTAGAACAGACTTTTTCATATTCAGATACTTTGCTTTTGTAAAACCCCTTCCTTCATTGTGGATAACGTACACAGTTCTATTCCAATCATATAACATTACTTGATTTTTTTTTTTTCCCCAAACCTTTTATTTTTATTTCAAATCATTGCTCTCATGCAATTGTAGTATAATATCATACTGCCCTTTTATTATTGTTCTCATGTCACCAGCTTTAGGCACTGATCCACTTAAGCACTTGTGAACGTTGTTAAATCCATCCATATTCTGATAACCATTTTACGTCATTCAAGATTTCATTTTGTCCAGACGTTTTTCTAAAGTCAGTGTGTGATCCTTGCACAGTGCAAGAACAATAGCTAATTCTGTTGTCTAAATGTAGACATCGGATCTCGCTTCCTTTTTTTTTTCTCCTTACTGTAAGTCACATTTTGTGTTTATAAAATTTTACCATTAATTGTTTTCCTTCAGTACCCAGTGAGGCCCTCAGAGCTGCATGTCTTCATCTTCTGAGCAGCACAAATCCAAATCCTCATGTGAGATTTATGTCTAAAATACTCCTTTGTCGTTTTTTCCTCTTCTTCTATAGTCAACTTTTCTGCATTTAAAGACATGGAGGAAAAAGTTCAAGATAAAAAGGAAGCTTGCTTACCTGTCCATATATTTAGGTATGAATTAAAACTAAAGCTAAGGGTTTTCTTGCACCTGCAATTGTGGGTCTGAACTACCAGCTTTGTTTCCTTTAAGCTCATTTCTTGGGTTTCCAGGAAGGAGACTTGCAGACTTCCTTCTCTTACATAAGGATTCGTTCTTCTGTGTGAAAATTTCTCTCCCTTACCTCTTAGCTGTCCTTTAAATCCATCCAGCTCCTTTCAGGGTCGTAGAAGATGTGCATAAGTACATTGAACAGAAACTTACTCAATAACTTCTGGGATTTCATTTTATTAACAGAAGTCTACCATGAGTTGATTGGGAACTTGGCTATATACATAGCTGGACATCCATACGAGGAAAGCTGTAATTTAATTCCTGCAAGTACTTAAGAATTGCTTGGGAAGGCAAGGATGACTTGGCCAATCTAACATGTATGTGATTTTTTTCATATGTGTTGTTAAGAAATAGTGCAGGATGCGTGTGCTGGCCTCACCCCTAAACCTCTGGCTGGAAAAAAAAAAGTTTGATCTTGTAGTTTACATGAGAAAAGTTAAAATGAAGACTTAAAGTAAAATATAGCTGGAATGCTGGAGAAAGTGTTACCTACTGCTGACAAAGACCAGCTGCCTTGGGTCATGTTTTGGATATGTGATGCTTTCTGCCTCAAGAACAGATTTTGGAAATACCTGATAAGAGATACTCTTTTTGTTGGTACTATCTTACTGTTAGTGTTAACATTTGCTTCCCTCCTCTCCCCCCAGTCTGAGCTTTGTATGGCCAAGACTGCTTACTAAATAAACATAGTTTAATTTTTTAAATGACCCCCTCAATCTCTGCATATTCTCTTGTACTTGCAATCTAGTATGTGTCAAAAAATAAACAGTGCAGTTTATTTTATTATCCTGTGTCCAGTATCCTATGTACTATTTTCTTTATATTATTAACCTGCAAGTTGAAGAGAGACTTTCAGACAGTATTTGTACTTGGGGAGAAATCGTGCTAGAGAAGTAGGTTTGGCCACAATGTTATATTGCTCCTTAACATGCAGGCAAGATATGATCTTGTATGCTGGGAATTCTATGTTCTTTTTTTTTTTTAAAAAAAAAAAAATCTGAAAAATTTTTGGAAGACAACACATCTTAGGTAGCATAGACTTCAGCGATAGAAGAGTTGTAATTGCTAGATTGTTAATCTGAATGCTAAATAAATATGATAGTCTTGGTGGAACTGTAATAGTAAAAAGTTAGCAAAACACAGAAATGGACATTGGTACCATATACAAATAGATTTAAGCTGTCTTGTATTGATAGTGTATATTTCTGTTGATGTCAGTTAAAGTTTATGTAAGGAGTATGTATTTTTCAGTCTTGTTCATCCATCAAAGTGTAATATTTCTGCTGAGAAATCTTCTGTTTAATAGAATATTTATGATGAGTTAGCATTTAAGTAAAGGAGAAAAGGGATCCAATGAGATCCAGTGCAGTAATCTGCTTTTGTGAAATACTACTTAATGAAATATTTTGAAGTAAGAATGTATGAAAGATGACAAAATAAGTCTGCTGTCAGCCTGACTGCTTGAAATTTGTAGAAACTTTGTATCTGATTAAAATGCAAGTATTTTGGTTTTCTTTCCACCCTCCCCCTTTAGATGTTAAACAATCAGTTTCAGTAAGTGAGTAGAAGTAAAAGTAACTTGCAGTGTCTGCAGCTTCATTTTTTCCCCATGTTCACATGGAATTGGAGGATAACTTGCTGTACAACTTAAAAGAGAAAGTTGATTACTTTGTACCTTCTTTTCATTAGCTGTGGAGATGCAGAGCTCTCTGCTCAATGACATGCAAGCCTGGTTTGGAACTGAAACCTTTAATTCTCACAGATTGTTATTTTAATAGGCATGTATGTGATGACATGGGCACCTGGGCCTTGACTTTTTTTTTTTAAATTTAGTTTTAAAAGCTGCTGTATGTTTATCAAAGAGTCTTTTACACTGTAATTCTGTTCCTACAGATAAAATTTGGCATTTTGACATGGAAAAAGGTCTCATAAGACTGTTCATGAAGCTAGATGAGCGTGTGTTTGTCTGTCTGAGGCAGCTACAAATTTGTGCACTGTGCCCATATTGTCTATCTACTGTTTCAACAAATTATCTGAAACTGTTTAGTTTAGTTTATAAAGTACAGTACTTCTAATATTTATGAATACATTACACTGCATAAGCCTTTGTAAAAATTACTTCATGAGATACAAAATCAGCTCTACCTTTTAAGCTTTTTTCTTTTTTTTTTTTTTATCCTAGAATTTTGGTAGTCTGTTACACTTGGAACAATAGGCTATTGTGCAGTTTTTATCTTCAGCGGAACTGATTTCTTTTTAATGTTGCATTTAGAAACATTGCCAGCTTTGTTTCATTACTTCAGCTCTCTAGTTCTGCAGCCTTGGAAGGGAAAGGGCAATTAAAATTTACTTCTGGAAGATGGAGTCCACACCACAATTGTACGCAGATTGCAACAGCCAATGATACCACTGTTCGAGGATGGGATACACGAAGCATGAGGTAATGAGAAGTTGCAGTCTTGTTCTCTAAAGAAGACAATCTCCTTTGGATATAGATTTTTCATTGCTACTAACATAATTTAGGGTTTTTTTTTAGGTTAGAAATGTGGCAAAGCTATCACTTACAAAAGCAATAGTTGGGCTTGCATAGCTGATATATTTACAATTTAGTAAAGGGTCTTGTCTGTTTTTTCCAGCTCAGCTTCAATTCTAACTTATACATTGAGTTTTACTGAACTGTGTACTAGTCTCAAGGTGATTTTTTCAATACATAGGCATTGCTTGAATGAAGCTGTTCTGTAATTCAACCTGAAGATCATTTAACAGTCCTGACTATGCTATGAACTGTCTTCATAGCATACTATTTAGGGTAATTCACAGGTTAAGTTCACTCTTCACTTTTCTGATTTTAACAAATAGCATACTATACTATATTAAAGACTGTAGCATGCTAGTTATATGAAACCACTGAATCTATCAAAATCATAACCAAATCAATTAAAGCTTTGAATATACCTAATAAGGTGTTTCCCCCCCCAGCTCAGTTGTAATTTTGATAAGCAAAGGAGTGATGTTGTGCACATCTGTTGCCATGGCTACTAAAGCCTGTGCAAGCTTTTTCAAGATACGCTTTATCCCCTTAGCACATAGTAATTTATCACTAAACCAAGAAGACTGATGTCTTGTAATAACTTTTGTTGCCTTAAAGGGGGATGACTTTAAATTTAGTTCTATGGTTCCTGCCAGCTCAGGGGTGTAGCAATAAATCCCCATGTTTGCCAGCCTTGTCTGTTTTTGCCAAAAAGGTTTATTTAATTTGAGAAACAAAAGCTAAAAATACAATATAATAATTAAAAGTCACTTCCTGTATGCTTGTCATCAGATTTGAAACTCCATTTCTTTGCCTTGTAAAAATATATATAAAAACCTAACTTCATGTATGTGTGTACTTTCATTTATGAAGACTCTTTTAAATGAAGCATACAAGAGAGAAAAGAAAAGTCAAAGGAGAAAGGGTTTTAAGTTGCTTTTTCGTGATGTTTCTGTAATCATACCATTTTTAACATATAGCATGCAGACCTTATCTGTGTTTCTAAGTAGAAAATGTTAAATATTGTGAAGTCTGCTTCATGCTCTGTCTCATTAGAAGAAGCATCTCTATCTTGCATTAAATGAATACTCTGAGTAACTTTTATGAAAGATAGTCCAGATATTAACAGGATCCTCAATGAAAGGATAGCTTGGTTAACAAAAGAAAACTCCACAATTCTAATTACTTTAAGTGAAGACAGGATAGATAGTCCTTGAACCAATTTATGAGTACTAGGCTATGCCAAAGAGCTGTTTGCAATGTACTTGAAAAATATGTGCAAGAATAAGTCTCATCTGCAATTACACTGTAATATGTCTAGAATGATGTGAATATTTGATAATGACTAGTTAGGCTAGAAGTAGGAGTTTAAAGTCAGGGCATTATAAGAAGCAAAAAATGAGAGGGGAAAAAAAATATCAAGGACTGAAAACTGCTATACCAGCAAAGACTAAGAGAGAGAGAGATACTAAAGAAATAGCTAGAAATAGCTACTTTGCAGAGTGCGATTATGATAGCTGTAAGGTAGAGGGAGTAAATTATTTCGGACATAGCAAATAAAGAAGGGGAGGAAAAAAAGAGGTTGGTGGGAAGACTCCTAGACTGGACTAGAAAGCAATCTTAATCAGAGAAGAGCTTGTGAAGCAGAGGAGACAGACACCAGGCTGAATGGATTTAGAGAGAGAATTGTATCAGGAAAATTCAGACTCCAAGAATAAATTCTAAGATATGGAAGAAGAATGAGAAGGTGGAGCCAGTAGCTGGAGGAAATGTTGATGTGGTCTGGCCTTTATCTTATGCTGTATGTGGGAAATTCAGTGTAGGTATTATTGCTGTAGGTAGGATGATAGAGTGAAAGAAAAGAATATTTGTATTTGAGAAGGGATCAAGTGGTCAGAATAATATCTAAGTTGGGATAAATATACAGTGGACAGTGGTATTTCTTTTTAAGCCCTTACACACATTTCCATGAGCAATGTAGGAAGTGCAAGAAAGAAATGAAAGGTACAATAAAGGAGGAAGGAGGTGTTTTATTGCTGCAAGCATGCTTGAGATGTAAAATTTTTCCCATAAAGATGTTTCAAGAAATTAAGAGGAAATGTTGAATTCAGCTCCCAGAATACCTGGTAGAAAGGTATACCTGAGTGACATCCTTAACCTCTCAAACTCTTGAGAAGAGTGTTGATGTTGGATATCGAAGTAATGTCCTCTATCCCGAGTGACTGCCATAGCTGTCAGTATAGGACAAGCCTGGTATACTTTGAATCTCTCCTTATGGAGCTACTTTGCTTTGTATTAGTAGTTAGATATTAACAGCAGGAGACGCTATCTGGTCTTGACAGGAGACCATATGTACAGCACAAGAAATACAAAGTTTTGGTCAGTCTGTTTTCTGAAGAGAAACATTTTTCATTTAAGAAAAAGAAAAAAAGCTCACAAAGTGTTGACAACTTCTAGTGAAGATTGTAGGAGACTTTCAAATGTAAGCAGAACTTTGGTGAATGGTGGCTTTGAGACAACTGGTAATACAATAGTGGAAACAAAAAAACTCACCATCCCCAAAACCCAAGTTTAAGAGGTGAGGTTGGGAGACAAGCTGATGGAATGTGATGTTTTGAATAAGGATGCTAGGTTGTTAGCAGTACTACAAATGTTTTCTGAAGTGGTCCAGGTGGATGAGTATGTGCATGTCTGAGTAGTTTAAGGGCCACAGGTAAATTAATAATGAATACCAGAGTTCAAGCAGGTAAGTTCAAAATAGAGCAATAATAAAAAGCCATTGTTTTATCTGTTGCATCCCTTGTATCTCAGCTTTTCATATAGGGAGAACTAGATATCATAAATACCGAATTAATATAACTACTTAGGGATGGAGAAACTCTTATCTCAAAATATTTTGATTTAGTAGCAGACATTTCATAACAGTTGTTAGAGAGCTGTGCTGGAATCATCTGGAACAACTGTTTCCTTTTAGCTCCAGATGATCCTAATGCAAACAAGGAAAGAGCAAAGCTTCAAAGCAAGCTGAGAAATCTATACAAGTCACTGTTGTTAACAGCTGGGATTTCCCTAAACTATGCACTAGTAATGGGAACTCTAGGTCTGCGGGTGCTAAGGGGATTATGCAAGTTTCCAGGGAAACAGATTCCTGTCAGTGGAGTGCAGTTAGCTTTTTATAGACCATTTAATTTTTTTAATGTGTTTTACAGACAGATATATTGCATAGAAAATGCACACGGACAGCTGGTACGAGACCTAGACTTTAATCCCAATAAACAGTACTACCTGGCTAGCTGTGGAGATGACTGCAAGGTGAAATTCTGGGACACAAGAAATGTCACTGAACCAGTGAAGACACTAGAGGAGCATTCCCACTGGTAGAACAAATTATCTGCATGCTGTTTTGTGGGTGGATGGCCTATGTAATTTATTCAGCTAATTATTTTACTGTTTAGGAACAATGCAAGCTAACTATGTTTGTGCTATTGTGAATAATCGTTTTTCTGCACAGAGGAAAGGTTTCAACATGTGAATGTTCCTTGTGTGATTGTAAATTAAGAGTTTAGACAATGATAGTGTAACTGGCAAAAAACTGTGGTTAACATTGTTGGGAGATAGGGTACACCTTTGAGAAAGCACCACACAGAACTTGACTTGTAAGGACCAGCTGGGACACAGGTGCCTTCCCAAATTGAGGCTGATCTACTGCATCTGACTTGCAGAAAAGCACCTGCCATCTGACCTTCTGTTGTCTAATGATTGAAATGCTCAATAATTCAGCCCCACTTTTTTTCATGCTCTTCACAGCCCTTAAGCCAGGGTATACAAGTGAGTCATTTTATTCTTGAGAGACTATTTAGAACCTATCTACCAGTCTGATCTGTGGCTGGAGCAGGGGGAGAATCTGGTCTGACGTTTGCAGACTTCAGTGGTTAAGAAAAGATGAACGGTTCATATTTTATAAAATTTGAGTTGGAGTAATTCTTGCAAAATAAATCTGGACCCTGAAGCTACTTTGAGGGAAATGAAGATGTGAATTAACAGAAGCAGCATTTATACTTTTTTCAAGAAGACTGAAAGAAAAAGAGTAAAACAAGAACCATAAGACATTTGGTATTAATTTGATATGTAAAATGTAAAAATTGGAGAGAAATATAATCCTACTTTTGTTTTAGGGTCTATTTTAAACTTTGCTGTAAGAATATTGTGAGTTTTTTTGTTTTAACAGGTTACTTCTAATCCGTATTTTGCTTTGGGGAAATTTTTATATTTAGAACTTAAATATTTATCTGACAGTGAATTGGCATGTACCCTAAAGGAATGATACTGCTGAATGGTGCGTTTTGTTCTTTGGATTTTCTTTTTTTCAAAACTTATTTGTTGAATTTTAACAACACTTCATAGAAAGCAGGTGACGTGGAAGCTTAAAAGCAAAATGAAGATGGCAAAAAACAGTCTTTGGAATGAGGCATGTCACTTCTATGCATACTTGCAACATTTAAGTCAAAAATCAATTTTTAGTGCTATTTTTTTAAAAAAAGTCATTTAACATTGACATGCTACCTGCCAAGAATAGCCTCTTGTTCTTTCTGATTTCACTTTTTAGGGTCTGGAATGTCAGATACAATCATTCTCATGATCAGCTGATCCTTACAGGAAGCAGTGATAGCAGAGTTATCCTGTCTAATATGGTATCAATTTCTTCTGAACCATTGGGGCATATGGTAGATGATGATGAACTAAGTGACCAAGAGGACCAGCATCAAGAAGACAAGTATGAAGTTTCCTGAGTTTTATGTAGATGCTTATAGTTTGTCTTTTCATTGTAATGCTTAATGTGCTATTTTTTTGCTGACTAGGATTTTTGTATACAGGCCTTTCAGGTAAGTTGTTCTAATTCCTGCCTCATTCTTCTTTACTCGGAGTCTTGGGTGCAATACACTCTTTAAATTTGACTGGCACAATCACTGTAGGTTCACTGGTAGGAAGGGCATGGTGATGCTGAGGACCAGTCCTAAAGTCCATTGGATCTGGGAAATTCACTTTAAGGGAGCCTCTGGATCAAGTCAAGCACTCACAGTAGTCCGAGCTAAGTGAAAGTTGAAAATCTGCTTTTTGCATTTTCTGTGTATGTGTCCTAACCTTTAGGAAATGTTACCAGTGTAATGGTGAGCTTCTGCATAGATGGAAGAAAGGAAGTATAAATACATTAATTTTTGTTAATTTAGGTCTTAATATTGCTGACTGTTCTAGAAACCAATAACTCATCAGACCTACTTTAAGCAAAACAGAAGGGGTTTTTGACACTGTTAGTAGAGAATAATGCATGTTGTTGCAAGCATTTGTAAACACCATCCACTTGGGTGTGTAAGGAATCACATATTTGCATGTGAATTTTGGAGGAATGAGGTTTTTGGTAAAGAGTTAGCTGAAATGCCAAACTAATAATTTTTCATCCTTCATTTTTGTCTGCTTTAAGCTTTTTCATTGTGCAATATTTGATGGTTGTTTTCCTCTCTGTGCTTCTTTATGAATATATATGTGTATATAGAGAGTTTTGTAGATCTAGTGTGGGCTGAGGCTTTCTAATTTTATGACCAGTTTACACGGTGATCTTCAGCAAACTCTTCTTTTACAAAGTGAAGATAACGATACTGAAACTTGTGTAAAGTATTTTGAGACCAATAGGATTTATTATATTTTTCTGTTCTTTGCAACTGTGAATATCCATGTTCTACATGTCTTAACTGAGCAGTTTTGTTACTTCTGTTAATTTATTTTAATATGCAAAGCTGTCTGTGATGAAATAGGCAGATTACCTCCTGAATTATATTTTTAAATGAAGGATAGTCAGATAGGATAAGGAACAAGGAAACTGCAAAAAAGATCCCCCAGTTACTCAGCTGTGTTTGCTAAATGTTCCAGTTAAGATTCTACATAAATTTTAGGTTACTTCTTTAATTGTATTTTTAAGGTTGCTCTTGCACCTTTATTTAATTTTATTTTATTAATAAAGGTGTAGTTTTGTTCCAAATAGTTTTGACATTTTGGCTTCACATAAAGGACTTGGAAACCATTTTTTTTAATATTAAATAAGGAAGCTATCTCATATATAGAAATGGTTAATTTTCAATGTACAAGATGTCTCTAGAAGCAATAGGTGATGTAGGTGCCTGGAAAATCAAAGTGCATCGAGTTAAGTACCTAGAAAGTTGCTCACATCAACAGTACATACTTACTTTCTAGAATGTAACTAAATTCCAGCGTTTTAAGTATGATGTGATAAATTTTGATTCCTTACCTTTGGCTGGGGATTGCAATTGGTTCTTTTCTGGATGGAAGATAAATAACATTAATGGAAGTGAGAAAGAAGCTACTTCTTTTTTTTTATATGGTGGGAATGTATTAATATAAATAACATCACAAGCAAATAGTGTTCTGACAGATGTTGTATAGTAGGTTATCTCGAGTTTTGAATTTCTGTTGATTGTAGATCGTGTAGGTTGCCTCATTAAAACATAAATGATTGTTTCTGGATTAAGAATTTTTGAAACCAAGAATATGCAAAGCAATGCAACAAATATAACACATCTTTTCCTTTGTCTATGGGATGAATGTAAATCACATCATGAATGACTTGTATAGTAATGATGTAGATCCCCTGCCTGTTCCCAGAGGCTGTAAGAGTATCAGTACTGCATTTGCTTTTTAAATATCTACTTTTCAGCTGCTAATCTGTTCTCTATAAAACCTGGGAAAGCACATTAGCTTTTGTAACATTTGCTTGGTACTGTGAGAGTCTTGTCTTGGTTTGGTTTTGGTTTGGTTTTTTTCCCACCTCCTTGTTATGAGTTGAGCTGGAAGGATGTTTGCAAGGTGCTCACCAGCCTTGAACTGTTGCCAGCTGAATGTCTTTAGTTCTGAGCGCACTAATGAAGCAGGGGATAGCAGCTGTTGGGAATACTTCTTGTAACCACTAGTACCAAATATTTAGGCTTTAGTAGCTGTTTCCCTCCTGGAGAGTTCTTTGAAGAGTCTGTTGCACCGTTCCACTGGTACTGTCCCCACTGTTTGGTGGGGAGCATGTGTGTGTAGCGGTGAGGGGTGTTGTGTTTGTGTTTTTGCTTGGGTGTGGTCTGGACTTTCAGGAAAGTGTTATAGTCTCATGGTGTTCATTATTATCCTGTTGTGGAAGACATCTGGTTTGCTATTGAATAGCGCACAAGTCTTGAAAAAGAAAATGTCTTTTTCAGGTGTATCTTGAAATACACAGGAAGAGCAGGTGTCTGTACAACTAGTATCTCCAGCCAGTCACCTGCAGACGGAGTGACCAAATCTCTCTTAAAAGAATGTTGAAATTTCAAGTTAAAAGAAGGAAAAGGGCTTTCCTCATAGGCTACTTACTTCTCATGTTCTGAGTAAAATAAATTGTAAAAATGCTCCTTGGATTAAATATAAAAAATGAAGAGTATGTACCATTTGTATCTTCAAAGTTTGGGTTTTCTTCTACTTAGCAAAAATCCCCAGATTTGAAAAACGTTGACTTGTAATATTCTACACAGCTAAGACTTCTGAGATCTTTAAAACTTATGTTAATTTTTTATATATTTTTGGAGTAAACTTCCTAAATTTTATTGTATTTCTTGACTGGAGACACAAAGCAAGTAATAAGTCAGTTTAACGCTTCATTGTTCAACCACATAGAACTATGCATGAGTTTACCCACTCATTTATTCTTGCCAGATTTTCTGTAGTAACTGCCTACTTTTTAAGGTTCACAACTGAAACATAATTATTTGGAGATAACTTTTTTTTAAAAGAAAAGAATACAGGTTCACTGAGTAATGAATAGACAACAAAGCAAAAGTTGCTGTATTCTATTCTTACTAAGGAATTATCCTTTGTTTCTTCTTTGGGTTTGTCCATGTATATGTTGACATCTTGGGACTTTATATGCTCCTGTCTTGGAGACCAGAACATGCTTGTGTAAGCAACATAACTAGGACTATTGTATGAGGGTCTGTCTCTTGTTGCAATTGAGTGACCTTTTGGTTCCTCTTAACTGCTGATTCAGATCAGAGCAACTAGTTTGCTACTAGTTTCCTTACTTTTTAGCTGCTATTGTTGTTGTTTCTCTTGTCAATCATAAAAATGTACGAGCAGCTTCCCTGTATCATACCAAAGGTCTCCCTAGCCTGTATCACGTCTCTGATAGCAGCCAAGAGGAAAGATTATAAAAACAGGAAAAGGAGATGATACTTCCCCTGGGTATGCTTCTAGCCCCTGACTATTTGCAGCTCAGGGACTTTTACTGCCTTCTGAATCATCTTCGGAGAGTTCTAATTCTTCCCTTTAGGATTTTCTTTTGCCATCAGCCATATTCTTGAGTTTATCTCTTCTCACTAACCATGTTTTTGTTTGTTCCAAAACATGCTAGCTGTGCACATACTGCCTTTGTGAAATGCATCTAGGAGAAATATGCCACCTGCATTTGTTTTCTTGCACTGAATAAAGAAAGGCTTCAGTGCTTTTCTGTCAAGGAAGCCCAAAGCCTCTGTTGAAAGTAGATAGTCAAAAAAGAGGATCGAGCTGCCCACAGAGAGGAGGTATAGGCATGTGGCCAGAGGAGAGGTATGGGGTATTCTGGTCAAGTCCCTAGTCTGGATAATTTAATGCACAGTTCAGGTATGGAAAAAGATTAGCTGAGAAATGGGCTATGAAATGCTGTACTCCTAGCTTGATTTCTAGCACCTTGATCCAGAGGTAGAAAAAAAGTGTATGAAACAAATGAAAACAGAACAGATGAGGTGAGTATTTGAGGTGCACTTAGGTTTCATCCCCAAAACAAAGCTGGTGTGCCTGGATAAGAACGTAGGGAGTACTTTTTGATGCCTCAGTTTGAACAAAACATTTAAAACATGGGGTCATTCCACATCTATGGCTGCAACTGATTAAGGCAAGCTTCTCCTTGGCCTCTCTTTCTTTAGTGGCTTTGCAGTCTGGTGTTGCAAGGAATTCCTCCTTGCAACACTGAACTTGCCTTAATTCCAAAGCTCCTATAGCCGTCTTGTCAGTTCCCTTTTAGACATCTGCAGAGTACTAAGAACCATCTTCCACCAAAGGGAGGTGGTGACTGTCTTATATCCGTTCTTTGGTCATCCAAAACCCTTATGTTAGTAAGTCTATATTTGGTTGTATTAAACTAGTCTTGACAGTCATTTGAATTTTACATTGCAATTTCTAATAATAAACAAAAACTATTAGGTTCTTGCAATTTAGTGTGACCGTCTTTACTCACCAATCAGGATTCCTTTTCTTTAGTTGTTGCAATATATTTATTTGCCTTATAAGCTTGAATTTTAAAGTCTGTATGTCTCTGATATGCTGATGATACACAGCATGAGAACACCATTTGCTACATTAGGAGCACCACCAGCAAGGTACATGCTGCATCTACAGCAGTGTTTTCATTCTTCATGACTTCTATGGCCAGAACTTTGTGACAAGACTCAATTGATAATGGAGGACTTTATTTTTAAGAGAAAAAGCCTTTTCTATATCCATACCAATAAAAAGATTTATATGGTCAATAGCATTTTGAGCTTATACGTCAGTCCTGAAACAGAAGCCATCCTTAAACTTTAATTTTTCAGAATGAGCTACCAGCTCCCTTAGCTCTCTTTGGGATATACAGGCTTAAAGTGTTTGCTGCATTTTCACTGGCAGAACTGATTACTAAGTTCAGTATGCTACCTTTTCCCTTATGCTGCATTTTTTGACAGTACAGTCTAAGCTTATCCTTATCTTTGTTATCTATTGAAGATTGTACCAGAAATTGACATTAGGAAATAAATTTTTTAGTGTTTTTTTCTGAAGTGTTATGTTTCTGTCTTTTTCACCATAGACGTTAGCCACGCTGTCCTTTGATACATACAGATCAAGATCTAACACAAGCATTTCTCACCATTTTGCACTTTGAGAAATGTAAAGAATTGGTCCTTCCAGTACTGAGACTGAGTGTCTCATTGAGATAGTGAAGTTTTTTATAAGATTTTAAGTGTAGGAACATCTTCAGCACTTGGAATGGACCAGAGGGAAAATGGTGGCTAGCTTCTCTGTAGAGATTTCTTTCAAAATTCCATCTAAAGGAGGTGGTGGTTTCTACTTTTTGTGATAGAATTGTGGTTTGGAGCCTTTTGAATAGTAAATCATGTGGTTTCATGACAATACATATAACTGTGTGATCTAACATAACGCCTTTGTATATACATCCATGAGTTCAGGAGAGTGAATTGTCAGCATTGATATTTTGAGAAGTATTTGCCAAACGTTCATGGTAAGACAGGCTTTCAGGGTATTTTCACACACCTGCCAGTAGTGTTAATTTTGGTGATATTTTGCTTTGTGGTATTTATGTCTCGGGAAAAATCTAGAAATCATAGGATTATACTATGGAATCAACCAAGAGACTAAATTAATTAAAACAGCTTAAATAGTTTCTGTTCTGGGGAATGCCAGTATTCAGGACTTGGATGTGTAAGAAGCTGAGCCAATTCTAGTGCAGCAGCGCTTTCCGATTCCTAGACTATTTTGCTTTAAAAATGTGCTTCGTCTATACTATTTCTTTCTTTAACCCTCATCATCATATATACCCTCCTTATTTTATTTCGAGTATTAGGACAACTGTGAAACATGCAATACTAAAATATCTTGGGTTTAGAGATGGCGTTTGCCTGTAGAAGCAGTTCAGAAGGCTGTTTTTTGAGTTTGGAAAAAAAAAAATAAATAAATGCTTACAATAGTATGAATGGCCAAGTATTATATACAAAAATTGTGTTCCAGTATAAACAGCCTTGAATTCTGTTTTCCTCAAGAGAGTGAAAAAGGAAGTAGTGTATTGTCTAAGCTTACCAGAAACAAAACCTTACGATTCCTGAGTTTTCTCCTGCAGTTAAAGAGAAAGAGCATCCATGGGGCTGCTTCTAGAATTCAGTGGCATGCTTTTCAGGATTCATTTTGGATGCTGCAGTACATGTTGCAGCTCTATTGAGTCACATCTATTTCACAGTAATTTTTAGATTAAAGAAGTTTTAATTTTGACTGTGATAAGGAATTAATGATTTTTGGTGACTCTTAAAAACATATTTTATTGAATATTGTGGTGACAAAACAGAATTGCAAGCACTGCAAACTTAAGTGGTTGTTAGCATGAGAAGTAATTGGAAATAACAGCTCTCTACATGAAAACAATTATCCAAGGCTTAACAGGCTTCTCTCTCAAGTCTGTAACACAATTAACCTCAAAGTTATCTAGTAAAATGAAAACTCTTCTCCTTTCGTAGGAGAAGCTGGTAGGGGTCGTGCTATGTGAATAAGACTGCAAAGACAAAGCAGTTCAGTTTCAGCTCTGTGTGGCACAGGTCTTAAATTTATGCAGGATGTAGGTAGAGATTACATATTTCTTGCTATGAGTTCTTGATGACATAAAAGTTTGGTGCCTTGTCAGTTGATGCAATGCAAGAACATATATAAGGAGACAAAAAGGTATTTTAGTTTGGCCAAAAAGTCTTTGAAATAGTACAGGAAAATGAGAAACTAAAGGAATTTTTTAAGGGGACATGTTAGGCTCTGAAATTACCTACTGTATGTTAAGGAGAAATAAAATTGTAGCAACTGATAAAAACAGAAAGATAATTAAAATATCTAAAAGGACAAAAACATCTTAGATAAATACAAGTTGTTTTGTACGTGTTCCACTAGTATGTGCTGTGACGAAAATAATCTTTTTTCATAGGCTCTGTTGATATATGTATATCTCTCTGTATGTACAATCTTTAAAAGGTATTTGTTACCTTGCTTAAGTAAATGTCAGTGTCATAGCTGTTAAGTCTGTAACTTCTTGCATTAATCAAATTATATTTAATATCTGGGAAGTTAGGAAAGTCTGAGCTGATTCTTTAATAAATAAAAATGTGTAAAATCTGTGTAAAATTTCATTGAGAGTAAATAGTTTGTTGTGGGACTCAAACTGAACAATTCTAAGTATCCTAGATTCATATAGATTCAAAAATAGAATCCTCAGCCTATTCTTGATTTGCGAAAAAAAACCCACCCACATAGCCAAAACGCAGACAAATCTGAGGTGTTTTCTTGGAAGTCTCCTAGCATAAGATAAGGTGGTCTGTCTCCAAGAGATTCCTGTTGTGAGGAAAAAACCCACCACAAACAATCTTGCTCCTTCTGTTTAATCATTTTGAACGGTCTTTCACATACATGAAATAAATTCTACTCTTTCCTGTTGTTTGTGGTGGGTTTTTTCCTCACAATCTTGCTCCTTCTGTTTAATCATTTTGAACGGTCTTTCACATACATGAAATAAATTCTACTCTTTATTGCACTAGTAGAATCCTTCTGGGCTCATTACCCATTACATAATTTGAAGGTTAATCTGGTTTTATCCATAGTGTTTTTAAAGGATGCTCATGGACCATTTCTTTTGGATCTTCTGTATTGTTCCTGAGGCACACGTCATTCTGAGATGATTTTTTTCCATCCTGATTATCTTGTATGGTATCTAGGTCTTTTACACTAAGTAATCACTTCCATAAGGATTTTCTCAGATTCTCAGTAACTATCTCAAGGCTATGTCATTCTTAGGCACAAGTACTCTATACATGATGTTATCATAGATCTACACTATTTAAAACGAACAAACAAGAAAACACTGAGAACTGAACTCATGTAGCCTGAAGAACCACATAGAATAACATGCTTTCTTTGTCTGGGAAGACACAAAATTACTTTCATACCCAAGAAGAAATTCAGTGTATAGACAATAATAAGACAGTTAAAAATTGCAGTTTAAAATGGAAATGCCAAACAGAAGTTCATCTACAGGCTTCTTTCCTGAACACTCATTCCCCTGTGACTTCTGTAAATTAAATTAGATGAACTGTGTTATTTAAATGAAACACTGAAACAACTCTGAGGATAGAGAAAATAGTATAATCTAGAAGCTTATTTGTCCTTGTTTATCCAACCTTTGTTTAACTGAGGCTCCTGGTTAACTGAAAGTCGGTCGTGTCCCCTGACAGCCATGTGCACCGTGCATTACTCCCCTGCTTATCCAGAGAGACATCTGAAACCTTCAGAATAATGGAGTTGTGGGTAAGTGGGTGAGCGCCGCGTGAAGCACATTGCTGTCTGGGGACGTGACCAACTTTCACTGAACCAGGCATGTCAGTTAACAGGAAGTTAGAAAAACACATTGCAGGAGATGAAGTGTCTGTGTGTGTGTGTTTATTAGCTCTCTGCTGTTAGATGGTTTGTATCAAAGTACATATTCAGGAGAACTGCAAAACAAGCCTGCTCTTTGCAATTAACCAGGGACTGCGTGTTTGTGCTGTGACCTTCTTTTTTTAGTTGACCTTAAACGTAGCATAAGTAAATGATAAAAGTCCTTGAAACTAGATATCTGAAGCTATTCTGCAGTATCAGACTGCTTTTGGTTTATTCATTAAATTCAATTGAATTTTAATTGCAATGTTAGATTCACAGCTGGTTCAGCTGGCTAGGTGGAGCAGTGATACCCTGCAAGTGATTCAAATGTGATACCGTATACACTTTGTGATCGTAGAGATGCGTGCTTTTGGAGAGCAGCGGTAAAGGGTGAAGATGGCCAATAACAGCACTTCATCTCTGTAGTAGCAGCATCTGTTTAAATGATTGAGTGGCATTCACAAGGCTCTTTGGCTTTGCTTTCTGTTAGGAGGATTGCAGCTGTAATACAAGGCTGTTGCTGGGAGGCAGGGAGATGCTTCTGAAAGGCTGACTGATTCCTGTCAGACAAAGGTGATCCTCTGTGGGTGAAGGAGCTCTAAGGTCATCCTCTGAAAACTCACCTACCCTGTAGCTACAGAATAATGTGCTGTGGTGTTGCTCTGAGAGGAGGGACTGGCTCTGGGAGTGAAGGGAAGAAGGGCTGTTCTCAGCTAGCAGGGCCCAATTAGTGACTCGCGTGGTTTGAACTTTGGAGAATTGCCTGAATCTGTTCTTAAATGTTTGTAATACAAAAAGAATCTGTTTGTCTGTCATGATGTGGGTGACCATAAGCTTAGGTGTTGCAGCAAGAGGTGAGGTATACAATAATAGAGGAGAATCTGGTGTTATAACTCTAGGAATGGGAGATAAAAATTAAAATGTTCAGGGTCTTGCCTTCATCTCCCTTCCATTACTCTGGCGAGAATAGGTCCAGAGTGGCAACAGAGGAGAGATTGTGATGTTAAGGGACTGCAACTTCTTACCTATCTACACATCTCTAGTAAGTTATATTTTTAAGAATTCAGTTAACAACAAAGCGGGAAAGGAAGGGATGGAGCATGGTGAGAGAAAAGATGTTGATAAAAATGTGTGGTTAAGTGCATTTAGATAATACCCTATAGTTTAACGAGAGAGAGAGAGAGAGAGAGGTGCTTAGTGTAGGTTCTGAGAGACTTGGAAACACACTGAAGTTGAGAATAAGAGGTACTTTGTCCCTGTAAATGGGATCTTTAACATTGACTTGACTCTGCTGTTCTATCTAAAACATAGGTACATGCAGACATCTGGTGTAAAATATTTCCTTAGAGCCTACTACTGCATTCTTATACTTTAAATGGGAGGTTTCATGTCTAGATGTGAGTGACATTTAATACTGCCTTTTAAATCAAGAGTGTTAACAGATCCTCACTATTTTATTTTTTTCTTTTTTTTTTATTTCTTCAATTTTAGGATTAAAGAGCCCCTTCAGGACAGTGTAATAGCTACCTATGAAGAACATGAAGATAGCGTATATGCAGTTGAATGGTCCTCAGCAGACCCGTGGCTATTTGCCTCTTTAAGTTATGATGGGAGACTTGTTATTAACAGAGTTCCCAGAGCTCTTAAATATCACATACTATTATAATTTGTTTAGATTATGGTGGAGTTGTTATCTCGATGTAAACAATTGGTAGGTATTGCTTAGGAATTTTTTTCAGGATCTATTTTTATTAAGTATAAATGTTAAAATTTTGTTAAGAATATCTGTACCAATAGAGATGCTTTTAATTTGTCTTTTGTATTTGCTTTGGAAAACTGTAATGCATTTTCGAAAGGTTGTGCTCGTTAGATGGTTTTTCTTTTTTTTTTTTTTTTGAGGGGCTAATCACTTTGTGAATTATAAAGTTTCTGAAGATACTGGGTACTTCCCATACTATTGCTTTATTACTTCAGCTTTGTGCAAATATAGTGGATTACAGAGGTGTTGTTCTGCTGATATAAAACTGGGATAATATAGGGTGCATGTAGCAGAAGTGATCTACTCGTTTACAGGAATAGTATTTTATCTTTTGATATAAGCAGCCTTCTGGTCTTAGCTGGGGCCACATTCTGCTAACTATTCTAGTCATTCTTCAATGTTTATAAATACAGCTGGGAATGGTCCTAAACAGCTTTCTTAATTCAATCTAATATTTTTAAACACTTTTTCTCCCTTTTGCATATCCTAAGAAGAAATGTTAATTTTGAAGGTGAAAGCTTCAAAATATGTATTTCATTTAAGCCTTGTGGTAATATCAACAAAGTACCATCCTATAATTTGCAAACTAAATGCAATTTTGAGCTATGTGTTGTTATTGGAAACAATATTAGTCTTTACTGAAATCTCTTAGGTACTCATGTAATGTATTATCCCATGTTTATAGAACTTAGTTGTGCTGTAGTATATTTTGAGGGACTCTAATATTTGTAAGTAGATTCTCTTTCTTATCCCTTTGACTCCGTGCCATTCTGCAGGGTGCTGACATGATGTAGCAGGCTTTCAACTAAGCACAAAATATCCTTTGCTCTATCCTACTCTTTACGATACCTGACCTAGGCATTGGTGACTGTCTTGTTACAAATGCTGAGAGCAGGCAGGTGCTGCCCTGTAGGAGAAGGCACAGAAAAGTTGAAATGTAGATGGAAGGCACAGTGAAACATACCTGTACGTACTGACCACCCCCCCTTCCCCATGCATAGCTTGCATTAAGATGAAAATTCTGCTGCTTGTTCTTTGTGTACTCAGAGACTAACCACAGCAGTAATTATTCCCTGTTACCTTTTCATCACTATTACTTGCCATTAACTTCAGAACCTGGGTACGTGCGACAGTGTTGGTTGTATTGTTGTGTAAGACCACTCTGAAGAAATGGCAATGAACATGGGATGGAACGATCAATACCAGCCTCTTCCCGTGAGTCCTCCCGTTGCTGTGGCAACGGTTGGTGTTAGCGTTGAGGGACAGCCTGCTGCTCACCTCTGCTTGTCCTTACCCACTCTTGGATCGAAACATGTCCAAATGTGATTTGTTGTGTATACGCAGCTGCTTCTGTGAGAACACGCTTTGAGAGCATCTGACTGCTATAGGCCAAAACATCCAGAAAAGATGAAAGTTGAATTCTGTTTCTGGCTTTCTTAAAGAGCTTGTTTGGAAGAATTTATAGGAGTGAAGTAATCCAATTAAATCATCTGTACTATTGTTTGTATTTGTGTTACGATGCTGCTTGTCTGCTCCAGAATGAATGACTCATTGGAGATTCTGATAGTCTGATTTTCTGCGTTAAGATTTTAAACTTCTGCTACTTCAAATTGTCTCAATCTGTAATTAGGCATGAGCTATTCACCTGTATACTGTAAGAAAAATTACATTTCCAAATCAGTAGTGCTTCAGTTGTCTGAATATCAAAATCCTTGGTTGGGCTGCAGCTTTATATGTGGAGCTTTTAATCTTGAGACACAAAACTTGTTGGGCTCCTCACCCCCACCCGCACCCCCTGCCAAAAGAGGGGGGGGAACACAACATAACACAAAAAACCAAAACACCAAACCCTGCAGTATATCTTTAGTATGCAGGAGAACTCTTTAAAACTTTCTTCACATTAGCAATAAAGGTCTAATGAAACTTTATTGTCTGTTAATGTATATGGCTTGCAGTGTGAAGGCGATGAGAAATTTCGTAACAGTATGTGGGATGTGGTTTGATTTTCAACATGTAATAAATGCAGGATGGATTTCCAACTGATTTTTATGTGGTTGTATTTCCTTTAATATTGTAAGCTTGTACAAGCTGGAAGCTCTGTAAACAAATAATATCAAGAAATGTTTTCTTTTGTTTTAACTTTGTTAAATTTGTGTATCACCCAATAGAGGAGAGAGGACAAACACTGAGAAGGGAGTAGCAGGTCAAATTGGAATGAAACACACTACAGTAGAATCAAGAGAGCAGGAAGGGTCAAGTTTTAATAATTTTCAGCTGTCTGTAAATCAGGATCTGAGCTACATGTACAGCACTGGCAGCAATATGGAAATGACCTTCAGAAAGGGAAGACTTTTGACAAGGTTTCATCCCAGGCTGTTTAGAGAAAGCAAACTGCTGTAGGGTAAGAGGAAGGGTTCAAAGTTGGTTAAATAACTGATTAAAAGACAGATAGGAAATAGGAAGCAGGAATAAATCATCACATTTCATGGCAAAAAGAAATTACCAATGAAGTCTGCAAGGATCTATGCCTAGGCCCGTGCTTCACAGTACATTCATGACCTTTTTGGAAAAAGGACTGCATAGAAATACGGCAGAGTTTGCAGATACTGTTCGGAGCAGTAAAGATGGCTGAAGAATTATGGAAGGGCCTTACCTCACAGAGTGGCTGGTTGATAAAATGGTAGATGAAATTCAGTGCAGGAAATGTGAAGTAACGGATATGGGAGAAAACAAGTCATTTTACATAGTTACTGGGGACCACCGATATATGGGTATTACTTTGGAAGTAAGATCTTAGGGTTTTCATAGATCTTTAAAAGCATCAGCTTAATAGAGGTTAAAATTTTAATTAAAAAGTGTTGGGAATTACTAGAAAGCAAATAGAGAAGGAAATAAAGCATTGTTAATCCATTAAATAATATATATTTATAAATCTATAATGTATGTGCATCTTGAATGCTGTGTGTAGTTCTAGTTTCTTCCATTTCAAACCTAACGTAATAAAACTGGGAAAGATTTTAGAGGAGGGTGACAGAAATGATGAATAGCGTGCAACACCTGTATAAGGATAACTAAATAGACTGGAAGGCAGATGGTTGAGAGGGAATGATAAAAGTCCATAAAATCACAAGTGGCAGAGGGAGAGGATGAATAGGGAGTGATTGTTCACTGTCTCTCCTTATACCAGAACTAGAGGGTATTAAATGGAGTCTGCATGTGGTGGCTCAAAGCATACAAAATGAGGTGGTCTCCACAGGCGTGAAGGTGAGCTATGGCCCTCCTCCTTAATAATGCCTTTCCCCTGCACAAAAAAACACCAAAGAAACAAACAACAACAAAAAAATCTCATTAATGTTAAAGTTTGCATAACTTGAAAGTTAACTGAACCAGTACTGGAAAGATGAATCCATTAAAGGCTACTAAATATAAAGGCAGCATCTCTGGCTTGGAAAGTCTTTTGAACCCTGAATCGCTGAACACTGCAAAGAGTACTGGCAGAGAATCCTTGTGTACTTGTCCAGTCTTTACTTACCTGCCTGGACTTGTGCTGTTTGTCAGTAAAGGTAGAAAATAGAACTTAAAAATCATAACTTATTCTCTAAAGCTTTGTCTGTAGTGCTGAGACAGCACATTGCTCCTGCATGTTTCTCTCTCACAACTGTTTACTTTGGTTGTAAGTTGTGTTTTAGGGGATTTCAGAAACTCTCATGTCTCAGATGAATTTCTTACAGAATCCCAGTATTATTTCTGGAAACTATCTTGTTACAAAACACTCCTTGGCAGTAAGACTGTGGAGGCAAGTGGATTTCTGTACAGCAAGGAGGCCATCACCGCTTTGGAAATTCAAATCGTGATCTAACTGATCTCACAGCACTGGATGGTTTCAATGTCTCATAGAGCGAGCTGTTTATACAGTCACATGTCAGCATCGGTAAGCACATAATTGTTGCATTTTCAAACAAACACCTCTTAAATTTTCTTTCTTTCTTTGCAGACTGTGTCCAGGTAAGAAGTTTTAATAGGTCTTGTTTTTGAAAAAGTGAATTATGATATTCCTTAAAAATGTCAGATTGTGAATGTTACAATCTAAGAACTTGTTTTGTTTCAGATTTGGTGCTGAAAATCTTTTTTTTGTCACTTATTTAATGTATGTGTCTGGTATGGAATTACAAAAATGCTTGAGATGTGGTAGTTTTATTTCACAGAAAATGAATTATTGGAGGAGAAAGGAATTTATAATATTTAACAAAAGTTTTGAGCATGATCTAAGTGAAACTGCCTGAGGTCAATACAAGTCTTGGCCATTTAACAAGAAGCTTGAAATAGTCTGTTTCACTTGAACTAACAGTAGTGCTAACTTCAAAATAAAAATAAAATAAAATACAAAAAGCCCGCAACAAAAACCACCAGCAAACACCAACAAGCAAAACCTCTCAATACTGACCTGGTCTTTGCCTGTGGTGTCAGCACTGAAATTAGCCTGACCTGTACTGAAGCCCCTGAAGTTAACTGCTTGTCAACATTAGAATTAATGAAGAACGTGTATTGGATGGTATGAGTAGACTTGACATTTGCTCTAGACCAACTTTCCTTACCTCTTACTTTCATTTCACGAAGATGAGTGGAAATAAGAAGCCATATGATCTGGATTATGCTCAACACTAAAATTATTTGAAAGCAGTGCTTTGTTAAGAATTAAGCTGCCTGACCATTGTCTTTTCCAACTGACAACAAAAAGTATTAGTTCTGTATTTGCCTCTTCATTCCAAATTCCTAAACCTGACAGCCTGGTACCTCTTGGCAGTATTTGAGACTGAAATTCTGCAGCTTGTTTAAGGTGGCCTTCAACAGTATCGTCAGACTATAGTCTGACATGGTAAAACACCACGAGGGAGACGTGCCTTTGATGTAACTGAAGCAGTGAAAAGTAGGTAATGATAATTGTTAAGATCAGTATTTGGATACAAGTTCATAGTGCTACAGAGCTGCCCTTTGGCTTCACAGGGGACATCAAGGGTCTTTTTGCCTTTTCTAGGGGATATGAAGAAAGTGCTTGAAACTGTTGTGGTGC